GCAAACAAAGTTCAAATTGTAAAAAGTCAAGCTTGAAAAATAAATGGTTCATCTACCCTACTTGTTTGAAGTTGTCAAAATACTCTGTTATTTTTTCTTTCAGTAGCGGTAAGTCTTCTTTGAAGGTAAGTATTGTACAACCTTTCATATCATAGTGTGTTTGAGGTAACGTATCTTGAACTATTTGTTTCACATCTTCATTTGGGGTCATTGAAATCGGTAAGTTTTCGCGATAGAACCAATTTCTGTCAGATTTGTAAATCTTAGCAAGGTCGTAAAAGCTTTTGTTGTTTCTTCTGACTAAATGCAACATAACCATATCTTTATCTTCTTCATTTTCCATCTCTTCAGTATAAATCATATACTTATAGTTCTTTTCCTTTCCTTTTGGTACCGAACGTGGTATTCTTTTCTGAATGCTTTTGTCTTTTGCTTCAAGCTTGTTTTCCATCTCTTCACGTTCTTGTCTATGAATTTCGTCAAGAAGTCTGTAAATATACCAAGCATAACGAGGCGAAGCCCACATTGCAACAGCATTTACAAGAAGTCTATGTACATAATATCCTCTCAAACCGTTTGGCAATTTTTCACGATTTTCATAGAGTTTTGGCGACTGGGGTTTTTTACCTACTCGCTGTTCTTCACTGTTTTCAGAAAAAAGTATGTCTCGCTGTGCTTCGCTCAAAAGTTCTTGTGTGCTTTGGTTCCTAAACCAGTCTTTAGGAAGCTTAGTATCTGGAGCATAACATGCTGTCAAAATACTTTGCATTTGGTACATATCGTCTTTGACCGAACGAATGAGACGGAGTTGTTTGTTAAACTGAACCCACTCATATTCTTCATTTATAGCTTCATGGACTATAACTGTTGTTGTGTTCTCTGTTGTTGACATATCTGTCTTTACATACAAAATAAAAAAATAAATAAAAATAAAACTAACTTTATTTTTTCTATCTTAAGGATACCCTTACGTGTCAGATTTTTTGCGCATACAAAGAAGTCATGCTAGACATGAGCTATATACCTGAAATTTTAGCAACATATTTAAAACTTTTTAAACTACAATACACTTTAATATTCAAGAACAAAAATATTTTTTTTAGAAATTACATAATTATTTTATGTGAAATCTATATAAAAACATATTTTGCGAGCGTAACTTTTTTCTTTATAAGCACCTTATATGACTGATAAACTGTGAAGGCACATAATTGTTAATTCATAGAGTTGATATGTTTCCAAAATTGAGAGGAAATTTGAAAATTGAATACCCTTTCAATTCAATTTTCAAAAGATATCAGCTCCTTCAATAATTGAAGGACGATTTTGATCATTTGCTCTTAAAACAAGTATGCCATGGAGAAAAAAGTTACGCTCGCAAATCTGAAATATAACTATCATATAAAAAAATTAAATTTCTAATTTTTTACTCTATAGATATTATTGGCCATTTGTGTAATGCATAAAAGTTTATGTCATATGCATACATTTGGAAGTATGGGAGACGAGGGAAATTACTTCTATGAGGGACTAGGATTTTTAAAAATTTCTCTATCGGACTTACCATTCAATTTCTCGAAAATTAAAAAAAATCAATAATAGCTAAAATGTATTATGCAACAAATTTTAAATGTTACACGGTATTTTTTGAACTTCATGACATGAATTTTCTTTATATTATTTTTTTTTTGGATTTTCTATGATTTATGCGATAGGCTGGAACAACATTATAAGTGCAATGATATCATTTATAGAGAAATCTAAAACTTCAGCATTCAGAACTCGCAACCACAAAAATATTCATTTGCTAAGTAAGTAAAGTTGATTAAGTTCGACACTTAGCTTTTATACGTAAAACCAAGTGTGTATTGTTATTTCTTGTTAAATTATTGAGAAAAAAATAAATTGTAAGAGAAACGATACTGATTATTGAAATAATATTGAGGGTAGCTGCAGATTTCTTCATTAACATGCCGGAAATTTGTTAATCTTGGTTTTCTATCATAAAATCTGTCGAAGAATCTAAAAACGGAGATATGAAATAGAGATCATGTAAATCTAGAGTATCCTGTCAGAAAAATAGACTAAGCATGTAACCCTTTTTTGGTCATAAACACTTTTTAACACTTAGTCATACAGATGATCATTAAATTTAAACGAGCACTTTTTGTCAGAATTTATTCTTTTACAAAGACAGAAGATTTTAGTATTATTTAATATTAGTGCTGTAGCAAAATTCAAAAAACGGTGAAAATTCAGTGAATTTGTGAATTCACATTTTTTTTCGACATTTTTTTGATATATCCATGCACATTAAGAACACAGCTTTGATACGCTTAAAAAAGCATAATTCATATGAAATTGTTAAAGAAATAAACAATTTATATAAAAATTGCACTTATGGGCAGTTTAGATATATAATTTATATATAACATATATACAAATCCATAGACAAAGTGCAATAACTACAATGTTGTAGAAAATTACAGCAGAAATACTGACTTTTTGAAGGATAATAAGAATTCTTCTAAATGTTGTATTTTTATAATTTGATTGATTTTTTTTTACTATTTCATTAATCTTTTATGAATAATAATTATTTTTAATATATGTGCTATTAAAATTTCAAATTCTGACTAATATATCTAAGTTATCTGAACGAAACATTTAGAAAATATCATACTTACATTGAAATAGCAAGTAGAGCATATTAATAGCAAGTTTCTTGGCTTTATATCTATCATCTATTGTTGTTTGATCAAACAAAATTCACTCTATTATATGGTGTCAATTAATTAAAACAATTTTTAATAGTTATTTATTTAGTGCGAATAAGTGCAAACTCATAAATGAATAACTTAATAGTAGAAATGAATTATCTGATATAAATCTCACATTTTGTCCATCAGAAATACTTTAATTGCATACGCATAACTATTAGTAATACGTCTGGAGTGTCAATTAATAACAATCCCACAACAAGTAAAATTCAGATTTTTATTAAACTTATTTTTTCCTAAAAGTTTTCTCAAATTACTATATATACATATGTGGATAAAATAATAGTAATATTGTAAAAAATTAGATAATTTTTTTTATTTGAGAACCTCTCAAAAGTTCATTCAATTTATCAATTGTTTCAGTTTGATGTATATTCATTTCTGGAGCCTAAAACTTTAGCAATCATGACAATATCATATTCTCTTTCTAACTACGCAATGTAAGGGTATCCTTAAGGAAATTCATGAAATTTGGTCATTTTTCAATAAAAATATATTTTAGGTGAAGAGGTGAGATTTCACCTCTTTTTTCACCTCTTTTCTACCCCAGTTATTTTATAAACGTTTCACATGGTAAACGTTATTTTTTAAATTTTGTGAAAACTCAACGGTTTGACACATGCCATATGCCATTTTACTCAGAATTTTGTTGCTGAATTCAGCAAAAATATATTTTAGGTGAAGAGGTGAGATCTCACCCGTTTTCTCACCTAATTTTTCACCCCAGTTATTTTATAAGCGTTTTACATGAATTGTACGATGTATATTTGAGACTCTAAACAGTTTTGTAGCTTCTATTTCTTCTTTTAGTACATCGAATGTTTTAACAATACCGAAAGTTTCTTTATACTTCTTCTTGACGTCAGATAAAAGGAAATCATCAGCAGTTGGATAGTTTTTGTTCAGAAATGACAGCATGTCCATTTTATTTTCTACCGGCTTCTCTGCTTCTTTCTTTAAGTCTGCATAGTCGTTTCTCATACGTTCTATCTCTTTGACGGAGTAGTTATATCTCCTCATTGCCGCTTTACATTTAGAACATTGCGGGTTCATTTTTGCGTTATATTCTGAAACCTTACCTGCTAAAACAACCAAGGCGTCAATGGTTTTCTTTAAATCTGAAGCAGTTGGTTTTATCTGTTCATGCCATACCTTACCTCTTCTATCTTTATCTCTTATCTGCCATACACATTTTGCAGCTAATGAAACAAAGTTGTCGTATGTCTTAAACTCCCCAGATTTATATATGTCAGAGATGTTCTTATATACCATGTCGCAATCTTTGTCCATAACTTTATGGTTGCAATGAAAACCAAGGAATTCATAATTTACCTTTCGTATGAACTTCTTTATTTCTACTGAGTCAGTTGCTTTGACTTCAATTTCGTCGAATTCAGGAATAGTGAGCTTTTGTTGTTGGATTTCAGGTAGTTTAGGCAAATGGTCGATGAGGTCCTCCATTTCATAAAGATACTGTTCATTTGTTTCATCTTTCGCACTACAGTCTAAATTACTTGTTAAAAGTTCCTGCTTTATCTTCTGGATTTCTGTTTCGAAAGTATATGAAGAAGGAATGAAGCTTTTCATTTCTACTAACATAGATGTTGGATTCATGACTAACGAGTTTGGTGCTGTTGTTTGAATTGTTGTTGTGCCGATTGTTGAAATCATATCTTACATACAAAATAAAAAAATAAATAAAAATAAAACTAACTTTATTTTTTCTATCTTAAGGAAATTCATGAAAATTCAAGAGGGTGAAAAAACAGGTGAAAAAAGAGGTGAAATCTCACCTCTTCACCTAAATTATATTTTTGCTGAATTCAGCAACAAAATGAACGAGGTCAGGATGTATGTAAATACATTTGAATTCATTCATAACACCCTTTGTAAGCTCATAAAATGCTTGTTTTGAGGTCGAGCCACTTTTGGCTCCACCGTATTCTTTCAACCAAAACTCAAGAATTTCCTGCATGAATTTTGTATAAAAAGCAACCGTCTGAATTCCGGCGGTTGCTATATTCTTCACAAAATGCCTTATAATACTCTTCCCAGGACTTATTTTCCAACAACTTTCTAAAGTCTTTCCTAAACTGACTGACTGACTGACTGACGGCACAAAGTGGCTTAACGAAAACATTAATATATAAAATTCATGAAAATTCAAGAGGGTGAAAAAACAGGTGAAAAAAGAGGTGAAATCTCACCTCTTCACCTAAATTATATTTTTTGGTCCGGGAACAACTTTCTCTCAATTGGAGCTGTAGCATACTCTTTGCGTAAGCGGTTCAGACCTTCTTCGAAGTCTTGGTCTCTCTTGGACTGAGATTGGAATTGTGGGGCAGGGTTTTGCATAAACATCCAAGGGTTGGGGCAGTAAGGCATAGGCTGAGGAGGGTAGTTCGGGAAGCCTTGTGGTGGGTAGTAACCTTGAGGTGGAAATTGGTAGTAATTCGGAGGTACTTGCTGGAACTGAGGTTGCTGAGGAGACTGTTGTGGTTCTTTAGGTTCCTCTGGTTTGGGAATGGACTCGGTTGGTGGTACGTCGGACATTGTCTTGAAACAGTACAAATATTGTTCTGAAGCAGTGCAAGTCTTGTTCTGAAAAAGTACAAGTATTGTTCTGAAAAAGTACAAGTATTGTTCTGAAACAGAAAATTTTTCTCACAAATTGAGAGCTTTTACGGGAAATTTGTTCTGAAAAAGTTCAAGTCTTGTTCTGAAAAAGTTCAAGTATTGTTCTGAAAAAGTACAAGTATTGTTCTGAAACAGTACAAGTATTGTTCTGAAAAAGTACAAGACTAGTTCTGAAACAGAACAATGGACAACATCGAGCCATTAGATGAGGCAATTTACCTTATAGAGATAAATGAAGTTGTTAAGCAGTACTTGGGCAAGGACAAAGCCAACAAGTCCCTCGGCTTCTGGTTGTCTGGAAGAGGTGCGCTGAAAATCGAAATTGAAACCGGAATTCCAATTCAAATACCAGAAAACACTCCTGTAGACGACATAAAGGAGATGAAGAAAGAAGCTCTTCTCAAGTTCTTTGCAAAGCGCCCATGGATACAACTTCCAAACAGAGAGAGTCCAATTCCACGAATTATACAAATTCTCAGAGCACTATTCCACTTCTCGGGTCAGCCGTTCTACATAACCTCAGAAGGCGGCATCCAACCAGTTCAGTAAACATCTCATTTTAACTCACTTTTTTTATGTTTTTTGTGAAAGTGTCAAAAATAAATTGTTTTCATGAGTTTTCTACGATGTTAGAAAAAATGTTATTTTCTAATATCTTCACATTCAATACTTTTTCAGCACTTTTCCGTAGTTATATATGAAAGACAATTCGAGATAAAAGTCATAGTACAATGGAATAATATGTTGCACACCATTTGTTGTGAACCAAACTTGAAAGTCAGAGAAACTGTTACTAGGTGGTTCGTAGAATTTAGAAGCAAAGTCATAAAAGTCCTTACCAATACATAGAAAACTATTGTTGCTTGAACTGAAACTTGCATGACACATAACATTTTGAGGGTCAAACATGTTTCTATAAACCATCAAATCTGCTGGTGGAAGTATAAATTTAAATGGACCATCTGGTGGTAATGGTTCGTTCTGGTTTAGTAACCGAAGAAATTGTGCCCAAGAACGTTTGTCTACTTCCCAAAATAAAAACTCTGTATCTCTTGGAGGGTTAATTTCAATCTTTTGAAATGAAACGGTGGAGTTCATCTTGTCATATTCTAGTTTCAGATAGTATGTTCCATTTAGTAAAGAGTCGTATTTTTTTTGAAATTCCCAATAATATTTGTTCATTTGAGTTTGAAAGTCATTTAGAGTTTTCTCAAGACTTTCGTCTGAACGAACTGTAAAGATTCTCATTTCGTCAAATTTGTCTATTAGACCATCAGAACCTTTATACTGCTCATGAAAATATACTGCGAACATAAATGCGTTAGTTCTATTTGAAAACAAAACTCTTCTAAATCCTATTGCCTTTGCATCTGAAGGACTTTGAAGCCAACGAATTGGATAGTCAAACCTGTATGCTCGGGATGAAATTTCTTCATCTGAAATAGTCCTACCAGCATTTGTAAAGATATAGTCTAACGGTTTTGTATCTGCTACTTTTGTTCTTTGTTTTTCAACCTGAAGCATTTAATATATGTAAAAATATATTGTTTTAAAATGGTATGCCATTTCATATTTCTCATCTAACAAACAAGTTTCCCAGCGGTCTTCTCCAACAAACTCAGCGTACATTTCAAAAAAAAAAAAAATGTCACTTTTTTAAAAATAAATTTTTTACTTCATGCAATGTTTTATTTCTGTGCCGTCTTCAAGTATGCCCCAATATTTCCTTTTCGATATTACATGAACTTCGGAAAATACCTTATCTAGCTTAAAACAGCCCATCTTTTCACCGACCATACCCATTTCAATGAGTTTGTTGTATCCTTCTTCGTTCGTCATAAGTGCGTCAATGTTCTCATAGTAAACCTTCACTTTGGATTTGACTTCGGAGAAGAATTTGTTGTACTCGTCAAGGACTGCCTTTGCGAACTGAGGGTAAGACCAATGTTCGACAATAGGTTTTAATGTGGTTACTAAGCCACTTTGACCTTGAGTGAATTCGTACTTCAAAACAAAAGGAGAAAACCTTTCAACAAAGTTGTCGACCTTCTCATAATGTTTACTCTTCATCTCTTGAGGTTTCTTAATGGAATATCCCCATGTCGAATTCATAAGCAATTTGAGTGTCATTGCAAGTTTGGGGTTTGAAGCTTTCCTAATATCATACAGTTGTTGTATGACTTTTCCAACTGTATAGTTCCTTCCCGGGAACTCACCATCTTCGTTTGGAATTCCAGTCGGAATATATTGGACAAACCTCATGTATGCAGCGTTAAGGTCGACATAGTATATCTTTTCATCTGAGTCGAACTTGTCGCAACCAATTGGTCCAGTTTGTGGAAATTAAGTGAGTCTCTTATCTTCTGAGAAACTTCTCCTGTTATCTCATAAACATCGTCGAAGCAACCTGTTTCATATAAAACCTTCTGACCTAACTCAGATGCTCTCCAATACAATTTGACGTCAATTGGATGTCTCAATGGAAGTTTGTTTATAGCATCTTGAAGTTCTTGCAACCTCATTGGAAGTTCTTCTGGTTCAGGTTGGTATCCGAACATACCAACTCCTTGTGGAACTGTGTACTTCTTTTGTACTAGAACTTTGTCTGGAACAACTTTTGGTCTTGCTAACAATGAAAAGTTTGTTTCGTCTTTTGGTACAAAAGTTTCTGTCAGCTTGTCATCTGGAATTGGTTCCAACAAACCTTTCTCGAAAAGAATGTTTACAGCTCTGACAATGTTGCACTTACTTTTACCAAAGAATGGGTTTGTAAGACTTTCGTTCAACATGAAGTGGTTGTGGACAATTACAATCTTCAACCATGGTAAGTCTTTGTCAACAACATAGTCGTCATGTGAAGAACCTTTAGCTGTAGGTATGTTGACTCGGATATTGACATTTGCCAACGGTGCAATTTTTGCCAATTGACCTCTGAGAATGTACCTTGTCTTCACACATGACTCAAGATACTTCATCTTCTCATCTGTAACAAGACCAGAGTTCCTGAGACATGTAAGAATGCAAGGTTCATTGACAATTGTTTCAATTGAATTGTAAATTCCATACCTTGTCAAGTCAATGTCAGACTTATTTATGAACGGGAAGTATCCAGCATGTTGTCTGACTGCTTGAGGGTTAGGTTGGTACCATTCGAACTTGACACTTGCAATTCCTTCAATTGCATTCAAAATGTCTGAGTCGGAGTCAACCATTTGTTCTCTCTTTGTAGTCTTGAAAGCGTCAAGAAGTTTTGCGGCTGTTTGTTCATTGCCATGTGCATAGTAAATGTGACCATCCAAATCTGTTATGGTCAATCTGAGATTGTGTCCTTTCTTATTTCCGTCTTGAATTGCAGCAAGTACTCCCATGAAGCCTTCTTTGTTCTTTCCTTCGTCAAAGTTTACTGTAAAGGTTCGACCAGATGTAATTTGACTTCTAACTTCACGATACTTTTCATATGCATATCTTGTTCTTTCCATGGGAGCATGTGCGTCTTCACCTTTTCCTTTTTTCCTTCTCAAAGGATGCAATTGTTCGTCATGTTTCCAGTAGAATCTGGCAAAGCCGTCGTGTCCTTCAACTTGAGGTTCACTAACATCGAAAGGCATGTCCATAAGACGTTCTTCTTCTAACCTCTCTAGTCTGTTTGGATAATTGGCACGTGCTGTTTCCAAATCCATTTCGTAGCGAAGACCAGACAATTTGTCATAGACTTTTATGGTCTTCCCTTCCTATATTTAAAATTCTTCGAAACTCTCCAACCATATCTTTGCAACTCTGCTTTTATTCTAGCAGACTTTCTATCCATTCTATATGGGGCATTTTTATAAAAAAAAAAAATTTTCTTTACTTTACATAACCGCCTGCTGCCATAAGTCTTTGACGCCAACCCATACCAGCTAATGAAGGTTGACTTGGTTTAGTTTGGAAACTAAACTTTGGTTTTGGTTTATCTTCAGTTTTTTGTTTTTCTTCTTCTATCGGTTTTTCGTCACTTTTCGGTTCCTCTGACTTTACTTCACTTGCAGGAACAGTTGTGTCGTCAACATCTTCATAAATATCATATGCCATTTGTTTTTGTTTTCCTTTCAACTTTTTGTGTTTGTTGTAAAGTTTAGAATATTTCGACTCTAAGTCAATGAGATGTTCTATAATGAACTGTTGGTCAGTGAAGTAAACTTTTCCATCTGTTGTCTCGAAAGCTCCTTCAGACTTCAATATTTTATTTGTGAGAGTCTGTTTCTTTTTTGAGATACTAGCCGTTCCATTTCTATGAAAAGTGACTTTATAGTTAGGGTTTGTATTTCCAGACCTGGCACTTTCTATTATTGAATTTTTCTCTTCATCTGTAAGTTCTTTGACAGGTTTTGACAATGGTTCTGAACTTTTTGTTTGTGGTGTCAAATCTACCGTTTCAACTTCTTCGGTCATTTCATCTCAGTAAAAAATTTTAGTTTGGTTTGTTTTCAACTGGTTGTTTAGGTTTTTTAAGTCGGTCTAAAACTTCCTGAGGTATAGGAAGAACTTTACAAACACGTGGTGTAACTGCTGGAAGCCGACAAATCCATCTTGAACTCATTTGTCTCAATGCTGCATTGTTCATTTCATCTCAGTAAAAAAATTTACATTCCCCACGTTTGAGGCGGTTGAGGTTGGTTATTGTTTACCCACTGTTGTGCATGGTTATATCCTCTGTTAAAGAATCTTTCACCTTGGTCCATATAGTGTCCTGCTTGGTTATAGTAGTCATTTGCTTTGTTATAATAGTTTCCTGCTTGTCTTCCTACATTGTCCATCCATCCTTGAACTTTTCCTCTTGTTTCAGGATTTGGAATAAGATTTGTTGCATCTCGTGCTACATCCCAACCTTTCTGTACAGTTTGTATAATAGGTTGTGCTTTCTCTTTAAGTATACC